AAAAATCCATATCCTTTAGCGTCCATTTAGTAAATAGGAAGTCCTACATCACATGGGCTTTTTGTTTTGCAGATAGTATTTTGCCCTACAGCAAAGCTGTCCCTAAGAGTTTAAATGCTAATAGCGAGCTGAGAATTTATCATACCGCACTGTACTTCTGACAGCTAAAAAATATGGGCTTAATTAGCTTAACAATTTACCTTTACAATAAAATCTGTTTCTCACGTATGAACTGGCTTAAGTGTATGTAATACAGTTGAGCAAATCACCGCGGAGGCCGCGGGAAGGCAGCCCGGCTGACTAAAGGCGCGCAGCGGGGACGAGCAGCGAAGCGGAGAAAGACGTCGCTGCAAGCCGTCAACTTTCAATTAGGACTGAGAATGAAAGGAGAGAGCAGAACCCGCACCCAGAAATAAATTAATGCCGCACATTACGGGGTATGGATAGATTGTCAAGTTACTGCTAGAACGAGCGAGCAAGGCATCCTCAAATTATTGTGAAACATTATATATATATATTATCCATCTTGCAAACACCTATTCAGTGTATGGTGATAAAGAGGCTAGGAGCCTCTCTCGTGCAGCAGGTGTCTTCTAGACTGAAGGAGGAGCGCGGCGCACCCGGTGGAAACCCGAATGAGGAGACCATCCACAAACTGCACTCACGATGAGCCGGGGTGGGACTCACTTAAGCCCCCTGGAGGTATGAGGCAGTAGTGCAACTGGGATATGTTCAGCAGTGAAATTCCTGTGATTTTCACTTCTGCTTGGATGGAGCTCGATGCAGGAAAAACAGCATAAAAAACAGCATATTTTTCTACAAATGACAAGTAAACATGGAAAAGATGCACTATGCTGCTGGCTCAGCACAACAGAATGCAGGATAACGGGCACTGGTTATCTATTTGCCTGTACTGCCCATCCCCCCCAAAAAAAAAAACTTTTTCTTAAAAGACACGTAAAAGTGAAGAACTTTGGGTTTATAGTATAGGGTCAGCTGGTTCCCTTGCAGCAGCTACCTCGCTCAAGGGCTGAAACAAAATATGATTGATCTAACACCCCTGGGATTCGAACCCACAACCTTCTGAAGACAGTCACAGAAAGGTGGTTTCTCTAGGCTGCCCTGTCTCTGCCAGATGCTGGTGAGACAGAGACACACTGACATCGCCAGGATTTACCCTCAGGCTAAAGCCCAACAACCAAGGCAACTGAACTGGAAAAAAGGAAATTACTGTATTATGGGATGACCCAGTTCTGCCTCCTAAATCCGCTTCAGATGTGTTTGAGAGGATTAAATGAAGATTTCCTATATACAAAGGCAGGGTTTTGTAAGCAATAGCACAGTACCAACCTTAAGTATTACGGTTTAGGCAAATTAAACCATGAGTATTCTAATTTAATTTCATAATGGAGTAAAACATTTAGATACAACTCTCAAATCTCAGTGTCATACGTGTAAAGAGATTTCATTTGAGAGATAATACTCCCAT